GGTCTGCATTGTATTTATTATGTGGCTTCTGCATGAGTAAAGATTTTTTATATTTAGCAAAGAAATTTCAATTTATTCGTGGTAAAGAAGCATCTAAAGTATTTTAAGTAAGTTCAATGAACTCTGAAAACTTGCGTTAATTTGTTCTTTCTCGCATTCATAAAATTTGTCAAAAGCTCTAGAAATTCCTAAATTTCCGAAATACAAGGCGATCCAAAACTTAATCAATTTAAAAAATTTACACTGCTCGACATTGAAAATGCAACACCAAGAAGAAGTGGTCAAAAAGTGATGAAATTTGAAAAAAAGACAGATACAGCAAGCAGCAATAAGTGATCTCTATTTCAAAATGATAGTCAGAAGTAGGATGTAGGACCACCGCGGACAGCGATGCACGAAGACACAAGTCTAGGCATAGAGTCAATAAGAGTGCAGATGGTGTCTTGAGGGATGGCTTTCCATTCCCTTTCAACCATTTGCCACACTTTGTCTTCTGAACGAGGCAGGAGCAGAATCTGCAAACGGCGTCCAATCACATCCCACACATGTTCGATTGGTGACAGGTCAAGAGAGTACGGTGGCCAGGGAAGCATCTGGATACCTTGCACAGCACGTTGGCAGATGCGAGCACTGTGTGGTTGGGAGTTATCCTGCTGAAAAATTGCATTAGGCAGCCCCTGAAGGTAGGGGATTGTCACCGGCTGCAGTACATTATCCATGTATCGTTGGGCCGTCATAGTGCCCTGAATACGAACTATAGGTGACCTGAAATCGTAGGCAATAGCACCGCAAAACATTATGCCACGTTGTTACGCGATGGGGCGATCCACAGTTACTGCCGAATTAGATCTGTCTCCACGTCGACGCCACACACGTATGCGGCGACTGTCACTGGATAAACAGAAGCGCGACTCATCTGAGAACACGACGTTTCGCCATTCTGTCATCCACATCGCTCCAGTCCGGCACCATTCTAAACGTTGGCGTCTATGCTGTGGAGTCAATGAAAGTCTTCTTAACGGATGCCGTGAGTGCAGGCCACGTTCAACCAATCGACGGGAAATGGTTCTGGTCGACACGGGAACATCCAGGGTATCTTGCACATGCTGCAGAATCGCGGTACAAGTGACTTGCGGGACTGCCACAGCTTGTCGGCAGTTGCGTCGATCCACCTGCACCCCTCCTTCTTCCCATTTCCTTGTTCCAACCATGTTCGCCATAGCCGATGCACCGTGTTCGCATCCATGTGGATATCAGCTGTGATTTGACGTAAGGACCAACCCGGCCTTCTCAGTCCGATCACCATACCCCTCATAAAATAGTCTATCTGCTAGAAGTACCTTCGTTCATGGCGGCCTGGCATTCTCCGGGTATTATAGGTCCTCCGGGACAAAAACCAACTTTCTTCGATAATTCGTTTGGCAGAAATAACGACACGAATATTCTGCACGTTCCTTCCCTTATATCTTACTCCACGTGCGTCGGAGAGCTGCGCATTTCACATCATTCGCATAACTCAGTGACGTGCGTCTACTCTAAAATTTGCATAAATTTCTGACCACTCCTTCTTGGTGATGAATTTTCAATGTGGAGCAGTGTATATTTCAGTGAAACTAAATGTACGATAATGCAACTGTCACAAAAATGCATGAAATCTAGCTTTTTTTTTTTTTTTTTTTTTGTTTTTGTTTTTTGTTTTTCAGGAAATTTTTTATGGAAATTTTTAATTGCAGTTATGTACCCCGTTGGTGTATAACTTAGCATTCTGACTGTATGTGACTGTTTCATACTTTTACAGAAAAAAAAATATTGTGCTAACAACATATTCCTTGCCTAGAAACTACCACATTCTTTGCCTAGAAACAACCACATTCCTTGCCTAGAAGAAAGGTAAATATTGAACTTTTGACAGGGTGACCACCTAGTGAAAACATTTTGTTGAAATTTTTTATATACGCATATTTAGGAGTGTTCAGAGTAGTCTCCTCAAGCATCAGTGCACTTCTGTAGGCGAATTTCCCAAAGCTTAAACGCCTCAAGCCATTCATTTCATGGAATCTATTAAAAAATGCATTTATAGCCTCATCAGTCTCATCTTCGCAATGAAAACGACATGCACGTAAGTTCCCTTTTAGATTACAAAATAGCCAAAAATCACACATAGTATATCGAACGAATAGTGTAGATGTTCTGTCACTTTGATGTGTTTTTGATTAAAAAAAAACTCAACTACCCATCTTGCTCAATAAGAAGGTGCATTGATGATTTGAGCATGAGTCCTCTAACATTCACTTCTTGAAGAATTTCTGGAAAACAGTAATGGGCCAATTGTGACTATCTTCTGTCCTTCCAGATTGATGGTTTTGATAGCCTGTGCCTTTCAAGAAATGGGAGTTTTAACGACACGTTGTCTTTTCACTATTGTGGGCCTGGGATTATCTTCAAATATCCCTAAATTAGTTTCTTGACGTGTTGAAGAGTCAAAAAATGGTATGTACGTTTCAATACCAGCTATGATTTTAGAAATAATATGGTGGCTGCCATCTTTAAGTAATTTAAGGGTTTCTTTACTGATTCTGACATGTTCTTCTTTTTTGTGCTCAGTTCAATTATGGGGAACCCAACATCAGCAAAATAATTTTTTTCATATGCAATTCTTCATGAATAATTTTATGTATGGCACCGCATCCAATGTTAAGTTCCTTTTGTGTCATTTGGCAGATACAGCGGTTACATTTTCCGTATGACAGACACATTATTCGGGATTACTGCTGACAACGGCCTTACTGTGTATTCTTTATCCTGAAAATAGTTGCGCACTCTTTAAAATTCTGTAAACCATCTGCACGCAGTAAGACGAAATGGACTTTTATTTCAAAATGCTAATTGTAGATGTGGAACTCATTCTTCTTGATTTAATCCCACTTTTAAATCATAGAAAATAATAGCGCAATAACGTTTTCTCGTGAACTTAATTTCTCCTTCTGCCTAAAATTTATTTTCCTCTAAACTACTTTCAATTAGTCAGTAAAAAGACATCTATCTTCTCTGCTAAAATAGTTCATATTTTCAAATCCAACCGTTAATTTTTTCTGCCACTTATCATCTGCGCGTATCTCAAGAATTTCCAAACTGACCTCTGGTACTAACTTAGACAAGAAAATAGTGCAGTTAAAATTATTTTGTGCCACTTCTGCGCATAAGATAAAGTATAAATTCGTGTATCGTGTTATTATTTTTATTATTATAACTTAGAGAAGTGGAATGTTTTATATTTAATGTTAAAAGTACTAGAACGCTAAAAATGTATAAAAAGAAAGAGTAGATCTTCTGAAAAAATACTATCTGTTTGGGATATTCATGCAAGACAGAACATCCCTGCTTATTGATTATATCTTATTCTCAATGTTTAGCTAAAATATTGAGTAATCTTCAATATCGATGGTTACATATAGTATTGTTGCATGCATACGGGATCGTAATAGATTGAATGTACAAGTCCGATAATAGGTTAATACAATTTATTTTATCAAAAGAAATATTTCTGAGAGAAATCTAAATAGCATCTATAGAGAAACCTAACTCGGATATCTCAGTTCACGTGGAACTAAACAATTCGCAACAACAATAACTAAGCAACTGAGAGCAGATACTCTCTTTACGGCCTTAAATAGTTTTCAACCGGCACCGAGATATTTATAGTACTTTATGTTTCTCGAAGTTACTGGAAAGCAATACGAGGGTTGAATTACGATTACAGGTAACATAGTGATCAATTATATTTATTCAATTTCAATACATGATACAGAGACCGGACAAAATGTCGATAAATGGTCACCAAATTTAGCGACGTTTGGCGATTTCTAGCCAAATTTGGTGACAAAATAAGTCTCCAAAACCGTTGCCAGCATATCTCGCCAAATTACCGAGATACACATTTACTCAATGTTAAATGCACTTGCACATGCATTCTTACTTTTCCGTCATAGCTTTTTCTTAAAATTTGTCTCGAGCTACATTACACAGAAAAATACAACAATTTCACTCATAGTTCTACTAAAATTGCCTGTCCGAATACAAAAATCCTATCAGTACTCAGACTTAAAATCTTGTGACTTTTTATTGTAGGATTATTTGAAATTAAAGGTATACAAATTTCGTCCAGCGTCATTAGCAATGTGAAAAAACACTGTGCGATGGAATGAATAAGTTATTCGTATAGAAATGCTGTTTTCTGCTGTTCATATGTCCTACCTCGTTTCCAGATGCTACGCTTGTTTCCCACATACAATACTAATTGTAAGGTATTTTGTGTTATTCTGTGGATAATGCGCTATCTGATAACTAAAATTGTAATTATAAAATGTACATATAAAATGCCCTAAGCATAGGAAAAGGAACCTGTAATTTTTGCACTTCCGTGTTAATAATGTTACTATATATTGAAAACTTATTGGAATGCAATTTTTTCAATTTTCTGATAGTTGAATCTGCCTTGATGTAAGTTACCGTGATAGTTAAGCATATAACAATAACATCAAGAATAAATGACTATTACGATGAATTAGGTATGAGTACTAAAGAAACATACAGAATCACATTTTTTTTTTTTTTTAATATATATATGACGAAAGACAGCAATTTTTCTTCTTGCTTTGTTCAGCACTTGTGGATTCGATTTTCAGTTCTCTAAGATCTTTATTATGACAGTCATATTAGTTTAACATGCTTTGATTTTATCTCTTGTATTTCTTCTTTAATGAAAATTCGTAAAGATATGAAAGTTATATGAATTATTTATCTTTTTTATTACTTTATGAAATAAGTCATATTTTTGGATTAAGTTCTACATTCCCTATTACATAATCTGTCGCTATCGCCATGTACTAAATTTAGGTGCCCACTGAATGTACTGTATTTTATGTTTTTTATGACAAAATCTTGAAAGTTTTGGAAGTCAGAAAAATATTTTAACTTGTTGAGTACTTGAGTAAAAAACATTTTACATAATAACATTTTATTGATCCGTGGTACAGAATAGAAATAATACATAAAAAAATTTGTACAAAATGTCTATGCATCAAAATCTGTATATACATCAATCAATAAAACCTGTTTATTGATACGGTAAATGATAAACGTTTATTTTGTTCTAAAACAAACTTCCTGTTTCGTACTTTAAATGTGACTTTTCTTATATCTAATGATTTCTATTCTAAACGAATATATATATATATATATCCTAACAGTTTTGAATGTTTTCCTTTTTCGCAATGGATGAGGCAGCGTTTGTGTTTAAAGTGGAAAGAAAAATATCACAATAATTTATACTTGTTTCTGAAAGTTCTTAAGGCTTCCTGTTTGGCACCACAATCGAACATCGTGAATAAACTGATGTGCAGTCCCTTTGAAAAAGGCCTGTGTGTGCAGCTCTCAGGACATCTTTGATGACTGATCTTGTGAATTCGGATACATCTAGCTTCTCTATTTTACTTTCTATTCTGCAATATGAGAACATCGATATTAAAGCAAAATTCAAAGATCTGAAAAATATATAAAGAAGAATTTAAAAATATCCTTAATGTTTTTATACTAATTAAATGTAAACAGACAAGTTTGAATACTTTTAATCATTTAACAAGTCTCCACTTATTTCAATATAGGATGAAATATCAGAGCTTTAACAACACCTGAAAGCTGCAGAAAAGTTCGTTTTTGGATTGATTGTGTAGCCACTTATGCTCTACCCCTTCTATAATATTGTTTGAGTTAAATATCTTGCCAGCAAGTGTCTCCTTGAAGGACCCACTTACAATCCATTAAAGTAATGCATTAGAATCCTCAGTAGTACAGCAATACCTTCTAAAGACTGTCTGTTCGATTCTTGTCTTCGGCAGCCGAAACCTAGATAACTGACCATATTTATGCTTCCACGGCCATCTTCCACGAGTCTTGTTACATAGCAAATATACATTGGTATCTCTATCTAAGAAGCATAACACATCTTGCCTACTACTACTACATCTTGCTTACTATTCTGAAATCTTACCACATTTTAACGTGACTTTCTAAATCTCCTTACTACTAAGAAGTACAAGCAAAGCTGTCGTAATTCCTGATCAAAATTTAAAGAATGATCAAGCATGTGCACAAAACAACAGGTATAAATTGTGACATTTTCCTAATCGCGCGCAATCTCCAGAACACGGTTTAAAATGACCGGGCCACCCGTAACCTTTGCAACCATATATTAGAAAACTTAATGTATCTGTAGTTATTGAGACGTACCTTATTGCCTTTCTGAAACTTGATTCACATATGCTGGCGAACTCAGGCCACTTTTTGGTCTGTCTCAAGAACCATGACAATTTGCTAAGCTTTATACTGTGTTCTCTCAGATTCTGTAACAGGTGCTGTAAAGCAGTTTTGCTGATCAAATATGGAAAACTACACCCTCGCAAAGTTATATAACTATGTGTTATAACTTTGTCGTGGATACGACCATGCCACTTCGATAACCGATATTTTTTATTATTGAGAATTAGAAGCTGTTTAGTGACTGTACGGTGAACTTATCATTCCAAAATACCACCTATTAGTCGAACACATTATTCAGGCAATATACAGCACAAATGTAAATATAGTTTCGATATTGCAGCTTTTCGTCGAGAATTTAACTAAACCCAGTTCATGCCTGTCCTATTATCTGTAGGAAAGAAAGAAGAGAAAGTCACTATCGTAAAACATATATTTATCATCGAACAATGCGCCTTATCACATTATGCTATTGCAACTCAGAAATGCATCATTTTTATCTAGCTGTAATTGCACACATTACTCGCATCTGAGCCTCTTTATATATCCTACTCTGTGATGCTGCATAACATTTAAAAATGCCGCAATTTTCAGTGTTATTTCCTTTTCATGCGGAATCGCTTCTAAACATTTCGCGACGATTGGTCCAGTAGGTTTCCTTTTAAATAAGAAACAAAAATGATTATAGCAAAAAACAGAGGAATACAGATAACAACAATATGAAATACAACGATAAGCAAATAAACAAAAACTGAAGTATTCTGAAATTGGAGCAACTGTAGTAATAATCTATGAGAAATTTTACAATATTTGTTTATGTTTACAATAAAATAAATGGGGCCTTTATGCATGTGAAAAAAAAAGGAGCAAGCATCTCATGAACTAAGTAAAAAAATTTAAGTACTTAGATAATTTTATTATTTAAATTCCTACATTTATGAGAAAATATTTAGATATCTAAATAAAAAATATTCCATTCTCGCTAGTTTAAATTCTGTGTTTTTGGTTATATTTCAAGTGCTTATTTATTGTTGGAAAGTAACTAATTGAAATTAAAATTCTGTTCGTTATTCTTATCATTTAAGTTAAAGGAATGTAAGCTAATTTTTAAAAAATGTTATGCATCACTGAAATACCAACATTGAACCTGAAATATCTATTTTCATAACATTTAAAATATAATTCGTTGGTGTAACAAAGTAATCAATTGACTCGCCACATTTTATAAAAATAAATAAATAAAGCTCTTTATTTTATTGAGTAAAAATATTCTGTAGTCCGAAATTAATAGAACTCTTAAACATTTTACAAGTGTAAAATAGAGCTTTTGGTGGATTGTCGTGTATATTGAAGTCGCTTATCAAACTAAGCTCTTCTTCAGAATTTTGTTTAAGATTTTTTTTCTCCTTCAAAGCTTTTAAATATAGCTCCGTGCATTTCACAAAAACCTTTATTTAAAATCTTAATGTTTTAAAGACTTTTGTAGGAGTTAAGCACATAGTCTTTTATTATGTGGATTATTAAGCAATTTTGTTTAAATGCAATTATTAAGAAAATTATTAAGAAATTTTGTTTAAATGAAATTACTTTATCATTTATTGTAGCCACGTAAGCATACCACCGACATTTGTATCTTATTTTGAGACCTACAATTAAAACTTCACACCATTTTATTAAACAAGAAATTAAGTCAAATTAGTACATATATAAATTTGCCTCTTAAATTAAGAAAATTCAACAAATTATCATTTTCTTCATATTGTGAGAAAGGGACAATTAATCGTTCGCAATTGTGTATTATTTTCTAATTGATAAATATATTTTTCTGACATAAGTATTTAAAAATGCTTTAACGATCTAAACATCCTCGTACCAATAAAGAAACTTAGTGAAATATCTTAAGTTTCATTAAAAATAAATATTTGTAATTTCTTAAGAGTTAGGTTAAGAGAACTATGAATTGGGTTTTCTTAAGTTAAGAGACCTATGAATGCTTTCAATTGTTTGGCATTTGCTTTTAGAGAAGTATAAAAAAATTAAGATCCATTTTCTTGCATGACTGCTTTACAAGTATTCAAAACCCAAAATATCTCTCTTGTCTGCTGTAAGACTGAATATTTTCAGTTACAGTTGATTAATTCTAATAATAGATTAAAACTATTTGAATGTTGTGTTTCTATAGCGGTCAAAAGTGCAAGGGATGCAAAATGACACTCAGAATCGCATAGGATGCAGAGCATTGTCACCTATAGGAAAACATCAAAATTAAAAACATTTAAAATATTTTCAAAACTGCTACTTAGAAGGAACCATTGCGATGAATCATCAGTGGCTAACTTCGGTCATTACTCTTGGCATGAATCTATTTCACGCCATGGCCGGAAGCAATGCCAGTGGAGCGGCTGCTGACCTCAAGAAGCACGCAATATTGCCTTTCGTCTAGGTCATCACGCTAATTTATGCCAAATTTCGCATTCCAAAGTGTGATGATATATCTAGAGATTATTATGTAATTTTTGTTTATTATTTCAAGTCAACTACTCAATTAATTATGGTACTTAAGTATTCAAGATGAGATGCCAATATGCTATTTTATGATTCCAAATAGTTTCAGTTTAACAATAAAACTAGGCACTATTAATATTTCCAGATTAACAGATGTAGGTCATTAGAAGCTTCAAGTGAAAAGGCATTAAATATCAGTATAAAATAACATGATGGCGTCTTAAAGAATTTCCAGAGATGAACTATAGAATCTAGCATTGCATTTATGAAGCTCAAAGGGGTAATTATAAGGCAAATATTGTCTACTAATTCAATAAAGTAGCCTATACACACATTTCTAAGTGAATATTATGTAATAAAATTACATTTTTATGTAGTAAATTAAATGCTAAAAATTCATTTGTATTTATCTTGATTTCTCTTTTTTTTTAGGTAGGATTGAGGTTTAGTTGTTTTATTTGTTTCCTTGTTCTTTTGGTATGAATATAACCTTTAAATTAATTTCCATCCTTCTTACAGAGCAGATTTTCTTGAAATTTTTCTCGCCCACGTAGCTTCGCTGACAACACTATATTTTACAGAAATTGTTTAAAAATTTCTACATAGATCTTTTCTTTAGTTAGTATAACTAACAGTCAAACTTTAGCCTTACACCATCTACATCGAAAAACAGTGTCCTAAATGAAGGTTTTTCGGAGTTTGTAAAACAAGTTGTAGACATTTGCCGGGCAACAAATTTTTAAATAAAAAGATTCAAATTAAATAAAATAAAAATTTTTAAATAAAAAGATTCAGTCATATGATTTTAGATGATAATGAAATTGTATTTAATAATCAAATAAAAATTTTAATTCATTGAAAATAATCATATGATTTAAATGAATTAAATGTAATCTTAATAATTTCTTTAGATTCTGAAATAATGGTTTTTGTTTTTGCCACCTTTTTCGAACTTCGAAGGCCAAAGCATGTAAAATAAAACACACGAGAAACTTTCTTTTCTTAACTTACGCAGTTTTAATTGATTGCATCAAAAAAGAGATAACAGATTTTTTTTTTTTAGTTATTACGATATTCCTACGCGACTAAAAAGAAATCCGCGGAGCTCTCATATACGAACCACATTAGAACATAACTCGAATTTCGAGAGATAATAAAATTGATAGAATAGGAATGGCGCATATAAGAATGATTACATTTAATTAGCTTAAACTTTTTGACAATTTTGATTACAAACCCAAAGCTTTATTAGAAAGTGCATGGTTCTAATTTTAGTCATATGTGATTAAGACATTTAAGATTATTATTTTATGGTTTGTTTTTAGGGTATTTAATAATATTTTAATAACTTCCCCCTTTTTTTATTTTTTTTTTATTAATTTACAGTGTCAGTACTAAGCAGCAGATGCCACTTAGTTTAAATTATAAAGAATATTTTACTTAAATATTATTAAATTAGATTACATACTACTAAATTTAAAATTAAGTAACTCTGTAATGTTATTATATTATCAAGGGTAGTTGCCTTAATTTAAGAAATAGTAGTTTGAAATCTGAACTGACTTTAAGCATTCTTCGCAATTTTCTTTTTATTTTCATTTCTTTTTCATTGATATTACTTATGTATGAATTTAAATAATGTACCAGATATATAAGAATCTAAATTATTTTCTTCTAATTAAACTGCAGATTTATAATATTTCTCTTTCTTAACACGAAGCTAAATATTTTAGTATTAATAATAATAATGATGATGATATTAATGTGTATCAGTAATTTTAAATGACACCGGTGAAAGAAAAATTTAGAAACTTACTTAAAAACTTGAAGCACATTTCCTAGGAATGATCCAATGCTAGGATCAAAAGAATGGTGTAATCTGCAAACCGCTTGTCTTCTACAGTCAGGCTGAGAACTTGTCAACTGATTCAAAACATCATCAGTTTTGTGTAAGAATTCAAATACTTCCTTAAATCCTTCATTTATAGCTTTTGTGGGCAGCCTGAAAAGAGATCTCCTGAATCTGAAGAAAGTTGGAGATGCACTTGAAGTCTCAGATTCTGAGGCAACTGAATTAGAGCCTCCAGAATTTGAAATGGAATTTGCAATATTTGAAATGGAGTTTCCAATGTTAGAGACAGATCCTCCGATATTAGAAATAGAACTCGGACGGTTTCCACCACCTATGAGGTTAGGAAAAGTGGGAATGATTGTTTTCAGTCTGTCCTGCATAGCCATGAAAAGAGGCATTATGATTGCTGTAACACCAGGAATAGCCATCATGAGCGGCAAGAATGGCAACATTACAATGAAACGTGTGGCTGCGAGAGAAAATTGTGATGGGACTAATGGAGTCTGTCTTTCTTCTAATTCGGTTGTAATATCTGAGAAAGGTGCTGATGCTGCGGGGAGAACCATAGACTGAAGAAGTATGCATGTTGATAAGAGAAGTACCCAGTAAGTACTTGTCTTTCCCATAGTTTTCAGCGGCTGTAAAATGAAAGAAATAATTTTATTTATATTTTAGAAATTTAGATTCATACGCTTGACATGAATGATTATGAGGTACGCTTTCTAATACAAACACAAATTAGTAACAGAAATTGGCAAAACACTGACGAAGAAGAATTCTATAAAATCTAGAATAGTGTTATTTATAATTTTCTGAGAAGGGGTGTAGAAAAATTGCAGAAATAACTTGAAGGGAGCATTGTTAATCTCTAGTAATAGAGAATAATACTGGAAATTAGGCATCTAAAATCTGTAATGAGTTTCAACCATCTTTTCTTTACCAGCAGGAATAGCTCAAATTACTGAATTGTAAAGTAATAAATAGATAAACTATTCAAAGCAATTAAATTTTATCAAGGATATTACTGATTGAATTGAAATATTCTTTCGCTTTTTGATAAATTTCTTGAAACTCTATTTCTTTAATTTCACCTGAACTTATTTTGTTCAGGGTACAAAACACAAAAAATAAGAATTATTATACTTATTCTAGAAATATTTTTAAATGTTTCTCAGAGGAATTTTATTAAACTATTTTAAAACTAATAAATATAATTTTAAAACACAACTATTTTAAAATTATATCAGCAAACGAATATTCAACAAATATTCCAGTAGAAAACGAATCTAAATCGCATCGAGTTTAGTATTATGTTATAGATTATTCACCTGCCACTTTGAGTAGAAAAGACGAGCTTAATCTAGTTCCTTTTTTAACCTGATGCAATTTTTTTTTCTGAGCATAAAAACCATTATTTGTCTGACTAGCACAAAATGGGGCATGGTTTACGCTATTAAGCTGTCGATTAATTAAGAAAACCTTTCTCACATCTGTTTTAGTATTTTCTCCAAATACAGACATTTTGATTTTTTAATTACACCTACATTTAATCACCTGCATTTTTTGCATTATACAGAAAATGTTTTGTGAATGTAGAACCTTTTTCACGTCTGCTTCAGTATTTTCTCCAAATACAGATATTTTGATTTTTGAATTACACCTACATTTAATCACCTACATTTTTGCATTATACAGAAAATGTTTTGCGACTGTAGATCTATGAAGCAAAGTTTTAGATAAACTGAGTTACAAAAAATAAAATACTAATTGTAAGAATAACACAAATAAAGAGGAAGTAATTACCGATTATTTCAGCTCATTACTTCATGTATTAGAAGTGTTCATTTATTAGAAGTCTCATGTATTAGCAATTCATGTAAAGACACTTTATATTACGTTTCGTCAATAAAAAGTGAAAAAAAAAAGGATTAATAAAGTGTATTTGCGCGCTTCCGTTAAAAAAAAAGGAAAACGGAAAAGGAAACTAACATTTAGAAAACCTTTTCTCACGTAAAAACTCTTACATCAAAGTTCTAGTAGAAAAGAACAAAAGAATATGTTACTGTAGCCAAAAAATAATGATAATAATAATAGATAAATAAATAAAAATAAAAGTAAACGAAGTTATGAGGGTGAACTTTGTTTTAGGAAATTGTTTTCAGATGTTTTATACATGTAAACTGTAAACGTTTTGGAAAAATTTGCAAAGCTTAGCATTTTTAGTCTTCTGCATCCACAGGTACAGGTACAGGTAAAAGTACGGGGGATACTACGATGCACCATGGGCCAACTGGTAACACCTTTCTATAATAATTCGTTAAAAAAAGAGAGAGAGGAAGAAGGAAAAACACCCAAACGGGCGTTTTTCTCATTTACAGACACATACACCTATCGAAGAGTATTTGGGCTAGCCATACTTAAAAACAGCAAATCTTTAGAATTTCCGATTGACAGTCTTGCGCGTTGGAAATAACAATGTCTTATTCCCTACAGTATTGCCACTGCTCGCTTTGAAATTGTTGAGTTTGTTTAATAAAAGCATCCAGTATTTATCGAAAATAATGATTTAGGACATAAAGAGATTAAATTTAGTTTCAATACAATCTGAAATTCACAAATTAAACTGAACATCCGTTTCAGTGTAACAAAACTAACAGATAAACGTGATAACTAACAAATAAATATAATAAGTACTCGGAACAGAATATTATAATGAACATAATGTTATAATGAACAGAATGTTTTAATGAACTGTAATAATAATACTAAAGAGGTGTCCTCGAGGTTATGCAGTTCTGAAAAGTTACTGCAGCTCACTAAGTTGATAAGCGGAATCCTTTTGAACATATTCACAGGATGTAAAAGTTCATTAAATTTATGCAGTGTACGAAGTCATACTTAACAAAGGTCCAGGCTTCAGGAAGTGAATCATTGTATATTTTTTTAACTTCGGATACTGATGTTTGTCTTTAATTAGAAATCTTTAGAATGCCAGATCAGTTTATAGGGATTTTATGTGATTCACCTCAGTTAAAGAGCATGAGAAAGTGTAATTATCAGAAGTTACTTGTTCCTCACATATGCAAATGTCAGAGTTCGTCATATATCTTGCGTAAGTTCGCCATATTTCTTGCGTAGAAATACGTGGGGAAGGGTCTATGTTCTTTTATATAGCAATTTAATGAAGGATTTGAGTACCGAAACGCGAAGCTTACATTGAGGATCAAGTTATGTGTGCTTCTTCCCTGTGAATCATTATTCTACAAATCTTGCCAACATTTTGAAGCAAGTTGTTTTAGTTAATCCATTACATTCCTCTGTATCGATTTCCGATATAAATTCTCTTCTTTAATTCCAAACAACAAATTTTCCATCAGCACAGAAGTTTTCATACTCGTGCGTGATTTCATTTTTGATGTAGATATCAAATAAAACATTAATTTTTCCCAAAGATATTAGTTCTGGCTCACTAATTTCAAATGACACTTTATGGTAACTTTGCATTATAGAACATAAAAATGTAATGGTGAGAAAAGACACGTAACTGAATTGAACTTATGAGTTATCTGATTTAATATTATTCTTCTAACACTAAATTAATTTTTTTTTCTGCAACAAACCCTTGAACAAGGCAAGATTTCTAAAAATGTCGAACTTTTGACGCCTCAAAACCTAAGTTCTAAAAAATTAATTTTGACCAAAATCTTCACCTATAATATTATCGATTAGTATATATTATCTGTAATATACAGCATCATTAACATAAATAAGTTACGACAAAGAAATTGTTTTTAAGAAAATCTTAACTAAAAGGAAAGGCATTTAGAGTACTATTCTGTTTATCTAACGATAATGATGTTTGTCAGTAAGAAACATCTGTCAATCATGGTTCATATCAATATTTTCTTGTACGATGCAATACTGAGTAACATCTTACTAAAAATGACATAAGTAAATTGAAAATTGTTTGCAGTCACATAATCATGTGATATTTTCAGTTGGAACAATGTGCAGTTGATGAAAAAGACTAGCATTCTACATGTATTGTGCATATAGCAAACAGCTTTTTTTTACTGAGTATATCGATGCCACTTAATTGGAATTTTGCAAAACTATTGCATTAATTTCAAAACTGTTTTCATAATACTTAAAAGAAAATAATCCTAACCAAAAGGAAATCGCGTATTATCCGCATTGTTCAAGGGTAAACTGTATTTCCTTTGTGAAAATGAAAAAGCATAAATTCTGGCTGACGAGAATTAAAGCATAAAATGAAGCAATTAAAATTATAAAATTAAATCAAATACTGCGAATATGCGAAGTTAAATCTAGTCTTATTGCTTAAATTTGCCTTGTTGCCATAAAAAATTTCAAGGAATGCCGAAAAGTCTGTTGTCTTTCTTAACTTGCTAAGCGAAAGTTACTTTCTTCTTCTCCGCCTTCGTAACATTGTAACACTACCCACGGCACTGAGAAAACTTTGAAATCCGGTAAAACAATCGAAAGCTTACCTCACCTCATCAACGTTCGGGACTCATCGAAATACCACTCTCAGTACTGTGCACTGTGACACGCTGACCTAGAGACAGATTGACCGATCTTTATATAATGCGGAACTAGAGGAAATTCCTTCTTTATAAAAAGACCTCGATTACAGAATCTTCAGACTGGAGGGGGTAGCCAGAGAATGTCGTCCCGCTATTCATATGAGCAGAAAAATAACTTCAGAAGTTCACGAGCCTGATGACATTAACCTACTTCAGATATAGTCCAAGTATCAAGGTCAAAAAGCTTGTTACACGTTGGTCTTGAATGCTGAAAACATACTTCATGGAATGCAAGTTGATGATAAGTGAAAAGTTTCTTCTTTTTTTACACTCATTGCACTCGTCGAAGAAAGAAGGATGCAGACAGATCACCTGTAATAACGACTAAGCTTTGAAAAGTAAAAAAATAGGACTTCAGTTTATAAATAATACCTTCTGTTGCGTAATTTCACAATAAGAATCTCAATACTTTCCTTGAACGTTTGCGTTAATTGTTGCCAATAGGAACTAAAATGAAAATCAGAAAATTTTCCAAGACTCTTCGAAGACAATTTAGGCAAGAAGACAACCTCGAAGACAATTTTTATTTATTCCTACTTATTCCTTAAAAAACGTGCTTTAAATTTGTTACTAGTAACGTTAAAAAGAAAGTTATAAATTTAATCTGCTTAAAAAAATACTTAAGAGTGGTAAATGGTAGTTTGAAAAAAGTAAGCTCAAGAAGATATTCAGTAATCCAAAAATATATTAATAATGACTTCTTAAACTTCTCGAATATGGTGACTTTGAACGCATATAATGATGCTTCATACGTATATCCTTATGTTTAAGTGTTATTTATTATTCAGACACTACTTTCTAAAAGCGTATACAACCTCCCTAAAATCACCCGAATGCAAAGATAATCCAGTTTACTGAGATTAATGGTCATATGTTATGATTGGTGTATAATAAAAATGCATGAATGTTAACAAAACATTTTAGTGAGAACAAAAATAGGGTATGAATTCAAATCTTATCTTGTAAATCAAACGCCTAATAGCCTAAAACATGAAAGACTTTCTTACTGAACGTGATGGACATTTTTTTTAATGGATTTGGAAGTAAAACTAATAATTTTCTGCAAATTTTTTGTTTGGTAAGTATAAAAGTTAACTAGTACTATCGAATACTACCATTGAAGAAAAGTTGAATCCTTGAAAATTAATAATAAGACGGTTTCAGTAGTAATCTGTGTTACTGAGGGTTGTTTACCAAGGTCTTCTTTATAAAGTATGCCTTTCCGATTAATCTCAGAATTGAATGACATTAAAATAAAGAAACTGCCTTATCATGAAATCAGATTAAACAGTATTTATCCGTATTATCCGTTATAATCATAGTAACCGACTTGAAACATAAGATGTCTCTAAGCATGAGATAAATTTTATTCAAAATGCTTCGTATGTAGGTGCCAAAGGCTTCAGATCTTCCGAGTTATTGCATATTATTATGCTTCTCCATTTTCAGTAATTAATAATACTAAGCAATTAAGACCAAATTCTTCATCTTACAAGAGATTTCTATCATCTTCTATTGTATAACTAGTAGTTAATTTGAAAGAAATTTCAGCTTCCTTTAAGCGACGGGAACATAACAATGTCTTTTCATATAAAACAATGTAATAGACTTAATATCTAGAAGGATAACTGTGATACCGCAAATGAACCGCGTAACTTAGAAATATGAATCGAAATCAAGAAAAATTTGGATATGTCATGGATGCGTAAAACATATATGAAAACTAATCTTTTTTACCATTTATTGCACAGTATAAACAAGAATTTATTATAACAACACTGTCAGTTTTTGATACCTAGTTTTGACAGTACGTGTAACAGATTCATTATTTTGTATCGTAAAAGATAATATTGCTGTTTGCAAGTCAGGTGATTCATTGATTCAGCTTGACTGCAGAGAAAATAAATTTGGTATTGATAAGTATACTTCAGGACTCGAAATATACTTGATGTTCCTTATGATTTTTCGCAATAACCTTTTCTTTTCACTAATTTATTTTGTATGTATGATTTTTGATCCGAACCTGGTAAAGCTTGCGAAAGCTTTCTACTCAAGAAGAGAGTTGCATTTATGGAGATTTTTACAGATTTTCTTTCAGGAAGAGTTTCTTATTTATATTGCATATTCAGACGATCTCGAATTTTTATGAACGAGGTAGCTGTATGGATGTTTTCATGGCTTTCGCAATACATAACATGAATATGAGTCAGTTTCTGTTACAGCATTTTCCATAAAGAAGGCGTTCTCTTTATTCAAATAATATTTAGTCCTTTCCTTTTTGTTTTGTTCATAGCATTGCATTACACTGCAATCTGGGTTTTAAAGTTTTGAATAATAGTACTGAATTAAGTAATGGGACGTTTAGAAATTTATGAACATTTCAGCAGTTCGCAAAATTTATTTATTTGTATCTCCATTAGTAACCAAATTACAGACCTTTTCCACCTTTTCTGAAATAGTCTTAACCCCTCAAAGCACCTCTAAGATGTAATGAGCTGTGATTAATAGTTGGACAATAGCAGTATGAAGTTTAACATTTTGAGTAATGTTTTTCTTCCTCAAAGCGTGTCTCTGAATTCTAATTGGAACCATACCCGGGTCCGGAGCTCGAACTCCAACGAGAGCATGGCTGGTATTCTTCATGTTTTCCAGCTTAAACAAAAATTCTGCTTGTTCTGTAAGTGACGCTCAAACTAATGGTGGATGATAATTCTTCGCCACCTAGACTTGGTGACTGGGTCCCTTTCTCTCCAGTCCCCCTTAACAAGGGGAAAGCGTAAAGTATCTTCTCTTTCAGTACCACATCTGTTCGTGATGTAATTGGAATCGTATCCAATTAGAAATCGGAAGTCCGAACTTCGAATCCCGCGTAGCTACTGCAGGTTTTTCACATTTCCTGCTTTGAAACAAACTCGTTAATAATTTCACAACTCGAACTCAAAAAGCTTAATTTAACTACCTCTTGATTGAAAGATTTAACTCAAAATGTTTTTTACGTGTTATTTCTTTATCTTAGCTCATGATAACTGACGAGTCCAGTAGTTTCTCTTTATATCTTTTTATGTAATTTACGATATTTCTCGATTTTTCTACATAAAATTTTATTCATTATAAAAATTTAAAAGCGTCTTGTTTGTGAATACATTATTGAAGAAAAGAGATAGGCCTTTTTTCATCTTTGGCTGACGTTATTAAAAGGGAATCGCATGATTGGATAGGGAGGTTCAGCGTCTTGAAAGTGGTTAGTTTATTTGCATTATTACAGATCAATAGAATTGGAGTTGCTAAAGTAATAGGTTTAGTAAACCATCTGTTCCATTTAAACGGTTCGATTTTAGTACATATGCTCTTGAATTACTTTTAATTATGTCCATTCTGGAGTTCTTAGCCTTGCAAATGTCGGTGAATCTTTTGAACTGCAAACTATTTTATTATTTTTATAATTCTATAGCAGTATTAATAGTAAAGACTTTTTAGATTATTTTTTATTTCGATGCTCATTCCGTATGAAAACCTGGAGAAAGAGAAGACTCACTAACTGCCAAACATATTTGATCTGTATATTTTTATATGTTCTTTGTAATATTTTCTGAAATAACTGTGCAGGGTTTCAGCTGAGTAGAAGCTTTACATCCATGTTCTTCACGGTGTACTAGACTCACGAGTTATCGCTCCAGTCTAAATTAAAATGATAGAGTCCTAAAAAGTTCAAAACAACCGTTTTATTAATTCTTTCAATTTAACAGGAAGCAGCATTCATGCTTACAGAACAAAACAGATATTTAAAATACATAAATAGAAGTTTAAATTGAAGTAACATAGTCGGGGACTACACAAAGTGATCCGTTTAAGCTCACTCAAATAACTGACAGCGTGCTTTAAACGTCGGTTAGCAAAATCTCTAAAGCCGGAATAAATTTTTCAGAGCTGGCGATAGGATATAAACTGCAAGAGAGGCTTCCAAAAGCTCTTAAACAAACATTCAAATCCTATCCTTAAATTAAGAAGACTCACTAACTGCCTTAACCTCAAATCCTTCTTAAATGCTTACAAAACAAATTTGTATTCTGCTGAGCATTGTGGAAAAGCTTTTTTTTTTTTTTTTTTTTTTTTTTTTTTTTTTGAGCAAAAGACATGAAAAATGTACAGTGCCCTTGCCGTGATTCGAACAACAGACCTCCGATTGCTAGCTGGACGTACTGTCCAATTACACAACAAAGGCACACATTATGTACTCCCCCGTTTTTAAATTTTAAATTGAATGATCAAATGCTTGCGCTGAAGAATTATTGTTCATCACCTTCCAATTCGGGCGCCACTTGTAGAATCATTGCCTTTTTTTTAAGATATGAAATATGGGCAATGCTTTTGCCGAGATTCGAATTCCAGACCTAAATCACGAAATTACACCTCGAAGACACGCGGTTAGGAAGGGGAAAATACCTTATATTTATTATATTACAATACAATTTTACAGTTATTGATAACAGAGGTTCAAATCACAATAATTGTAAAATTAGCGAAGACCTCGTGAATAACCTCGTGTTTAGCGTAGATTAGCAGAATAGCTGAAGGTTAGCAAAATCTCTAATCTCTTCACAATATTTGGTTAATTAGCATAAAACTCATAAATTGTAAGATATTAATAATTTTAATTTTATCTCTTTTGTTTCTCAAAACATATTCATACTCATGACATGAAAATTTATCACGAGCTAAAGAGGTATTAAAATATGAGAATATGAAAGGATATAGTTTTCGAAGCGCATATTCCATTAAAACTTTGGTACGTTCGTTGATACTTTACCAGCTAGAGGATTTACAGAAAGGTTGGCTGTAGCCAGTTAGAGCCGTCTATGCAACATTCAGTTTGATTCGATTAATCTAATTTTTCTGAAGCAATGCAAGAAAACGCAACAATACTAAACTTTTAAATTATTATTAAGAAGTAAAGAAAAACGCAAAGTACAAAAGCAGTCATAGATGATGTACAGGCAGTTGCATTTATCCATAAATGTGCTTAATTTAATTATATATGTATAAACATTGTTAAATCATGTGT